CTCTCTGGAAACAAATACAGGCCATTAGCCGCACATTATGAGCCTCTGTGTCTTAGGAGAAAAGGGAGAAAAATAAGCCAGTTTAAACGCTTAAGTTTCCCTATTCGGACTTATCAGTTTTCACCTGTGGTAAGTACATAGGGCAACTGAAGAAAAGATAGCTATTTGCTCTGGAGATTAGTAAATACATGTAAAAAAAGAAAGCCAAGAGATTTTGTTATCGCCTTTCAGGCACTATATTTACACAAGGTTCTACTTTCTTTCTTAGGCTCTAATTTTATAATTGGCTACTAACCCTTTGAGGCCTGAATGACTGAGATAAATGTTTACAAAATGTTACTTTCATCTGGTCCTTTGTAATAAGAAGTGGCTTTTCTTCTCATACTACTGATATCTTGTGTCTGACCAAGCTGATGTGCCGTTTGCATAATCTGAAGGTGACCAGGCCTGGCAGAACAATGCCTGCTAGAATCCACAGACCTGTGCTTCCTCTAGTGTTTCTTTGTTCTCCCTGCCTTCCCCTCCTTATCATAAGGGCTAAAATTAAGGCCTCGTATTAAAGGTGTCTGGACCTCTGGGGAAAACCGGAAGGAACAGGATGGCCTCACAGGAAGTTGGGCTCCGCACTCTGCTGCCACAGATCTGGTTCCTGAGTCAAACAATGTTTTTTATCAGAGACCCAGCACAGTTGCTACTTATTCCTGCGTGGTGCACTTCAGTTCCTGCCACCCACAGCATTACTCATACAGGCCAATCACCAACACCCAGGGGGAACAGGCCAACTTCACCTTTGATACCACAAAGCCTGCTTCCTGCAGCCCCGATTGTTCACCGATACCAAGAGCAACTTTGTGTTGCCTGCGTGACAGCTATGTCCTCCTCCATATGTCGCCAGATGCTGTGAACCTCATCATCTATCCAGGTACAGCATCCTGTGTGCAGCCGGCATCAGGAACCCGACATGGAATCCCTCCCTCCCAACTGGGTGAATAGGAAGAAATAAGATGGTAAGACGCAGCCCTAGTGTGTGCTTCCTCTTCTGCCCCAGCCAGGGGAACACCAGGCACATGGCTCTTCTGGTCCTCAGGGAGAAACAGAGGCACTTGCGGTCTTTCTGTTATGTCAGTCACAGCTCTCCTCAGACAGAGCTGAAGAAAATATCTCCCATTTCTGTAATTATGTAGGTGGCCCTACATAATTATGTCTGGAAGTGTTCTGAATAAAATAAACATTCAGAGAATGCAGCACCACAATTATATTATAGTTATGCAGTATGCTTTCTACACTGGTCTGGTTTAGTAGAATAGTAACGCGTGGCTGTCCACTCCAATTCCCATGCAAAGATGGTCAGTGTCAACCTATCGGCACATGTCGGCATCAGGCTTCCTGAATTTGTCCCTAACCTGAATGCTTAACTCCATTTTTCTAGTAGGATAAGAGAAGGGGCAGAAAGGAGCCGGGAATGCATGTGCTGAGTATCTTTCCAATGGAGGGAAGCATTAGGGGCCTGTTCTCCATGTTTCTTCAGTACTTAGCATCTCTTTTATTTTGTCCACCAAAGATTCCAATGAGATTCTAAGTTCTCTGCATGTATAGACTTTGTTCCTGTAGTCAAAGCTTTTACCCTGCAGGAGTGAGTGTAGTAGTAGTAGTCAGGATATAGTAGACACTAAATTTTAAAGAATAAACAACCCACTTTTTACTCTTAGCCTGCCACATCTCATTAGTAACTAAAACGTATCTGTTTTGTTTCTTAAGTATTTCTCAAAATTTTCCCCTTCTTTCCATCTTGTTTGCTTCTGACTAAACTCAGACTCTTGCATTCTTTCAGCTTTACTTCTCTCTGATTCATTTTCTCTGCTCTAATCTGGCTTCGCCCATTCTCAGCCACTCTGCACTGCTGTGAAGCTAACTGTGCTAATGCTCAAATCCTACTTTCTCCCAGTCCACGCTTTCCCTTGTGGCCCTAAGACCTTGCCATATCTGTGTCAGTCAGCTATCAGTTACTGGAACACATACATGAGGAAAGGCTCATAAGGAGAGGAGGAGCATTTTGTCTCACCGTTTTGGAAGTTTCAGTCCGTGACAGTCTGCCATATTGCTTTTGAGCTCAGGGTAAGGGAGCACACTCTGGTAGCAGTCATGACAGAGTAAGACCCCTCACCTCATGGCCAGAATGAATGTAGGAGAGGAACGAGCAAGGCCCCAATAGCCTAAAGACCTCTCACTTGTCCCTGCTCTTAAGTTGTCTACCATTTCTCAACAGTGCCAGGTAGGGGTCAAGCCTTTACCACATAGGCCTTTGGGGGATGCTAAAGATCCAAATCCAAATATATATACTATATTATAATATGAATCTAGGACATATTGTTAAAATCTGTTTGATCACAGACTCTGAGTGCTAGTTCACGCTTTTCATCATCAGCTGTTGTGTTTTGATTTTACCATATGATGAAATGTCCCTTGTCCACCCATGGACTCTTTTCTTTTTTCTGCCATTCATTTTGTGTTCGAATGGAGATTGGCTAATAATAACCAGAAAATACATAAGTGATAATGTTGTATCTGTTACCAAAAAGGAAAGGGGGAAATTAAGCTATATGTAAAAATTCACCTATTTATCATCAAGCATTCATTTTGCTTCATCAGCTTCAAGGAATTAACTCAGAAAGCAGAGAACAAAATTCATTTGGGTGTTGCTAAGAGTTCTTTCCTATTAAGAGGTCTCATAAATGCAACCCTAGATTCTGAAGATGTACCACAAGTTGTGAGAATGATAACTAAGTCACTCTGAGTGTCATGTCATTATAATAAGAAATACGAGGAGAAATGAAAGCCAATTGCCAATTTAAGTGCCTCCTGCATCACCGCACAAACCATTATCACTCTTTTCCACCCAGTGTGTTTCACATCTAACAGGCACATTTTGAAATCCTGCCCTCATTTGAATGCACATGGTCCTCATTTCTTACAGTAACATGTTCAGCACAAGCTTTTTTATATTTAGCAGGACCTCTTCCTATTCCCCCAGATATTCTTTGTTTCAACAATACCAAAACATTACCAGTCATCATCTAATGAGCTCTGGTATGTCCTCTTCACATTTCCTCAGAGTTAACTCTTTACAGAGCACAGGGAGTTAATTCTGTGGTGGCCTCCAGGAAATCTTCCCTGCCCTGCTGACAATGACCTCTGAGGTCTATCCAGACTGGATCATAGAACACAAGAGAAAGTGCTGTGATTACACATGGTAGAATTAATGTCATGCAAATCCACAGTCACAGCTCTGCCAGTCTTCTTCTCCAGACCATAAGCATCTCAAAAAAAGTGATTGCGTTTTTCAAATGTGATATCAATGTCTGTCTAATACTAGGTGCTAATGAGTGTGGACTGAATGAATAGGGAAAAATATAATGTAATAAAGAAAAATGGATGTATCCTTTCTGTTCCCCAGAAAAAACAAAGCTGTAGATCTTATTTTGAAGAGGCCAGAAATCTGTGAGGTCCTTAATCCTGATGGTTAACATCCGCAGTAACTAGATATAAAGTTTCCCGTGGTTGCTGTTTGATGCTTTTATGATAATTTAAGGCATTTCCTTTGTGTGAATAAAGTGCTTCCGATGCCATAAATAATACATAATTTTAGTGGGCTACGATTGGATTTTGCAGTGATAAATTGTCCTCTCTATATATTTCTATTTCTTAGGAAACTTATCAATAGAAGTGAGACTGTGTGTATAAGTCAGCTAAGCACTTGGGAAACATGAAGGGTATGACTAAGCGCTCAGACAACAACCTAGTTGAAATTCCACCTCTCCCTCTTTCTACAGAGGTAACTTGAGCAAGCTGTTTAATCTTACAGTGAAGACAACTGCATCTTAATCTTTTGAAACCTTTTGTGTGTTTAAGCTCCGTTTTCTATACAAAATGGTGGTAAAATTGTATTTCTATGAAAAATGTACTCTGGGATTAATATACCTAATATAATGGATTTAAGAGAGTGCCTGGAACTCAATACGCAGCTCAATTAGTATTCAGTACTTTATTGGATTTTATGAAGTATGATTTCTGCATTTGTCTGATGTAGTATAACAACTATCAGTTGCCAGCCCAGAACTGTGGCGCTGTGGCTCCTGAAGTCTTCTGTCCCCACGCCCCACCCTAGTTCTCACCCTGCAGATCTGAAAAGCCTGTGTCATGTTGCCTGCGTTCTTATTTCAAGATAGTTCAAAGCCCCTGGGAGCACCCAAGTGTGAGAATATAACACAAAGTCATCGGAAATGGGAATGCTACATAAACATTAGACTGAACTGGAAATTAGTCCATCGAACAACATATGTATATGATGGGATAATAGCATTCTCAATGACTTTTTGCTATCATAGCTAAAATTATACATAAAGTACATTCAAATATATTTCTTATACATGCACCACATAAATTATATACATAAAGTGTGTACCACACATGTCTCAAATGTATATTCTGTATTCTATGCATAATATATAATGCATACTATTATGTTATATGTGCAAGTGTAAGGTACAGAATACATAACGTGCTTATACATGTTATAGACATAATACACATATAGTATGTACACCATAAATGACTAGAACATTTATTAAGATGATCAAAGCAGTCACCTCCTGAGACTATTGGAAACGTGCTACTTCTGGTTTTTTGTTTGTTTGTTTGTTTGTTTGTTTGTTTTTTGTACCGGGGATCGAAAGGCAGGCCACCGAACCGCTGAGCTAAATCCCCGGCCCCATGGAAACGTGCTACTTTTGAATGGACAATACGGAGAAGCAAGGGGGCCACAACAGCTCAAGATGAAGGGATCTCAGAATCAGCCAAGAGGCAGCGCGGACTTCCGCCCGCCTCGCTTTGGCTGCAGGACCAAGGTTGTGCAACACCTTCAGTAAACACTTCCTGAAGCGGGACAATGAGGCAGGGAGTTTCATTCTGTCTCGCTCCAGAGGAGGCAGGGACAGAGCTGCAGCTCACAGGGCTCAGGTGTTAGCAAGGGGAGGCCGGCGTGGCTGGACACCCAGCATGTGGCAGGGGACTCTGCTGGCGCTCGCTCTCCTCCTCTCTCCACTCCCAGGTAGGCGTCAAGCCTTTCTCAGGTGTATCGCGGGTCTGCTGGAGCTTCACCGACTCCCACTAGTTTTGGTGTATAAAATACCTTGACTAGTCCCCAACCCAACGAAGTTCACCAACGAGTTGGGCTGGCTTCAATCTGTTGTTTGGGGACTACGGCTGCTACAAAAACAATGCAGAGGAGGGAATGAGAAATGATATTTATGTGTCTGACCTCTGAATACTGAGAAATGAAAGAGAAGATTTTGGATGGCACAACTTAAGCAGTGAATATGATCTTTGGGTCAAAAAGTGGAAACTTTTTTCTTTAAAACTCATCGTGTCATTTTTAATGCATTAGCGATGCGAGGATCTGACTGGTGATATGTGTGGAAAGACAGGAACAGAGCTGCTGTTATTCCTGGGGCCAGTTCAGCTGCTTTTATTCTGCTTGACTGCACACTTTCAATATTCAGTCCTTTTATCTTTGGTAAAAATAAATATAACAAGTTGTAAATAAACAGTTGACCAATTTTATATTTGTAAAGAGTTGTGATGACAAAAATGCTGCAGTTAAGTGTAATTTGATAATTCACTGTTATTTTGCTGGTTTATACCAATTAAGAATTGAAAAGTAGAAGAATATTATTTCTCAAGGATCCATTATATCTAGCTTGTCTCACGATTTTTGATAAATCCTCAATTGTATTTTTGGACAAATAAGACTTGATAACACATTTCTATTTCCAGAATTTAAGTTAGCACATTCGCTGTAAATTCTGGGATCTTTCCCTGCTAAACCTTCTCTTGGGTCTTAGAATGTTTAATGGAACCCAGGAGTAGAACAAATTGACAACAGAAGATGCAGGGGTAGGGAGGGAGAGATTTTCTGCTATGTACCCAATCTGTACAAGGTCACTAAAAATGCTTTTTGCCCTCCTTGACTCTTCTGATTTGTTTTTCAGACTTGTAAATATTTTACTTAATATCTTTAAATAGAGGACTGGTGCTAGGCATTTTATTACTTGATTTAAAATTCCTACTTTTAAAGTAAAAGTTGATAGCAATCTTATTTCCCTACGTTTTCCAGAAATGCGGTCCCCCACAGCTCTTAGAGATGCCAATCTTCACTGAAGCCTAAAAGCTGCTGGGGTCCTTATCTTTGTGTAACGGCAGGCCTGCGCTGCTGGAGTCATCCTGCGGGATGCAAGGGCCTCCAGCTTGTTGCAAGAAGACAGAGATATACTGGGTCCACTAATGGGCTCTTTTGCCAATACTGGGTTCACACCCATCACCATCCTTTGAGGGAAACTGGGTACCCCAACTGTTCCTGCCCCCCTTGATTGTGTATTCAGAACATAGTATCAACAAGGTGATGTTCTTAGAATTCATGCCTAAAAATATGACCTCACACCCCCAAATTAGTGTTGGTGGGAACAGAGTCTGAAGTTGCCTGAGTGAAAATGGGGACGGAGGGCAGACAACTGCACCCTCTTACCTTCCATCATGAACAGAAAGCTACTTCTTTTCCCTCACTCCCCAGCCTGTATCAGCAAAGCCCTCTCCTTGATCACTGATAACACTCCTATGGATTTGTTTTCCAACAGAATGTGAAAAGCAAAGCAATCTTCACTTGGGACCTCTTCTTCTTTGGTTCCCAGTCTTCATCATCATGCCCATACAAGTGTGCCCCTCTGACCGTCACTTTTGCCCAGTTCCCCTACATTGGACATAAAAGAATGAGATGCAAAGTAAGGCCAGATGCGTCTAATGAGCTTCCAAGTCCTCTGAGAAAAATTACTTAATGGGATTTCATCACAGGAAAGGAAAAAACATAAACATTTCAAAGCATGTCACAGGTATTAGAGGCATGGGGAAATAAATGAGCACGTTCACAAAGGAGAAAATTTTACTATATTCCAGCAAAATACAGCAGATACAGTACTTTTGAAACTACGTTATTAGACTAGCAGTTCTGTCTTGCCATGATGAGATTACAGAAAGGACCAAAAAAGTATATTGAATTTAACCTCAACAGTCAAAATAATAGGCTTAATTAGGATATATCTTTTCCTCAGTGTTTGTACTCACATTTACTGCAGGAAGTTTAAAATCATGAGATAGTCTGAAGGGACACAGAGAATTTCAGAACTTACATCAACATCACCCCACAAATCTTATTTCAGGGCTTGATGCCATGTGTCTGTCTGGAGAGACATTGCTTTAAAGATGTTGAACAGATTTGAATAAAAATGAAAATGTCAGTATTATGTACAAATGTTTGAAATCCAACATAGCGTCCAAGCCATTCACAAATAAAGCTCAGATCAAGGTCTATTTCGTCAATCTTGTTAATCAGCTTTGGCTTTTTTGGAAATAAGGAACAGTAATACAGCAGCAACAAAAAAACTAGTTAACGGACTGAAACCAAAATTATGATTATCTGTTTCTTGATGCAGTTTTGCTGGGAATACTAATTTAGCATATGACTTCTGTGGGAGAGAGAAAGTACGTATTAAAATAAATTAGTAGAAACATATTGTGTTACACCTTGGATTTGTATAATCCGTGGGTGGCAGTTAGCTGTATTTGTTCCATTAGCTTCAAAAGAATTAACTCGACGTTATTTATTTGGGAGGAGACATCTCTAACTCCATCTACCTGAGGATGAATATTCAGGTCTGTTAAATCCAAACAGGTATCTGCCATGTAAACTGTTGTATTCCAGATCTCATTGTTTCAGGGGGTCTTCTAGCTTTCAGGAAAAAAGGTCCTTCAGGGAAATTCTATCTGTTTTCTTTAGTGTATTTCCTGTGTTGCCAGAATGTGGAATGCACTGGAAATTCGCTTGTTTCATACTGAAAAGAGTGAGAAGTTGCTAAAGGCTTATGAAAGAATTGCCGTTTTTTATTTATGGTTCACTTTATTGGCTTTGGTTTTCATTTCGAAGCACTCATCGTGAAACAGTAGGGAATACATTTTATAACTAGTACACATACATAGACCATATTTTAGAGTTAATTTTTCATTTCATGAAACATTGGGATTTAGAGATGACGTAGAAGCGTGGAGACCAGAGCACACAGCAGGGAAAACGGGTGTCGAAAAGATGTACCTCTTTCTGTCTCACTACTTCTGAATAAAAAATGTGTGTATTGTCACTTGCTGGTTTTTTACAAGGAAGAGGTAGGTAATTAGTATTTTATAAGCCAAAGGCAGCTGGGATTAATGTGCCCTGCTATAATCATATATATTATGGGTGAAAACCACTGATACAACACTTTTAAGAAGAGCTGATGAGGCCACAGCATTGGTGACATGTGGTTTCACAGACTCCGTATCACCAGGGCCAATTGCACTGGTTCAGAATCACAACACACCAGCCACATGTTGGTGCCTGAGGGTGAGCTGGTTCTACGTCATCGAAATGAACGAGACAGCAGGGGATTGAGTCAGTCCCACCAGCTCATTTCTGGCAAGAGTCACTATTTTAAACCTCTTGGCGCCTTACTTTTCTGAAGTAAATATGAAAATTTAACTGGACAGAAAGAAATTCATTATTTAGGGTTTCTTTAGATGTTTGTACGTCTGTTCTGGAAATGTTTTATAACTAAGGTAATACATTTTCTTTACCAAAAATTAATTAAATAAAAATAAAATATACCACAGATTACTTCAACGTCAAAAGGAAACTTTACATAGAAACTTGTGGTGGTGTTTTTGAAGTGTGATGATGTGATAAGGCTTCTTTTATCACAACTCAATTAGAATTTCTTTATTCAAGTGATCATGGGCCCTTCAGAAATGTTTTGAGAGTTTATATTTATTTGCATAGAATTATGGAACACTTGATCACGCATTAGGCACCATTTAATTTTTCCCCTCGTTTCAAACACTTAAATAAAACCTAAAATTAAGATATTCTAGTGTCACTACCATAACTTTAAGCATTTCCAAAATATTTCACAAGAGTAAATCTCAGGCCACATAAAGAAAAGCTCTTTCATTAATACCTCAGTTTTAGACTCTTAGCTCTTAAACAATTGAATCACCTTTTCTAATTTTGCATGGTACATTCAAATAGCTCTTGACGGATCAGATCAATTAAAGTGGTTGTAAATGTCAAAACTTGACATTAGTTGATATTCTTGAAAGTTTTAAGACATGAATGTTTTGTGCCCTGTAATGTCGTTGGGACTGATGGGCAGATATTGGTTAGTGAGCACCTCAGTTCTGTTTGTTTAAAGGTCAGTCCCATTTATATAAATTTATACTGTTACAGGAGTTAGGTTCCTGGGATTCTCAACACGGAGTTACAGCCCCAGACCTTTTCAAAGAATTTTAATTTGAGCCAGGGTCTCTCTCAGTTGGCCCGGCTGGCCCCAAATTTGACATCTACCTGCTCAGCCTCCCAAATATCTGGGGTTAAAGGTGAGAGTTGCAATGCCCCTCTAGGTTTCTTGACTTTCCTAAACTGAGACTACATTCAGAGAGCCCTCTAATCATTACTAAGGAAAGATTAGGCCTTTCCAGTCCCGGTCTTCATGAGTTGTGTGTGGGGCCTGCCTCTGCGCCCCAAATCTCCCACTGCAGTCTGTGTCCTGGGGGCCTGCAGCCACCTGTGTCTTCTCCCTCCCTCTCTCTCTCTCTCTCTCTCTCTTTCTCTCTCTCTCTCTCTCTCTCTCTCTCTCTCTCTCACCGAGGATCAAACAAGGGGAAAAAGTGAGAACCAAGACCTGTCATGTAAAGGTACGAGATCCCAGTAATGAATGTAGCTGTACTGTATACCTAGAATGTACCAATAAACTCAATAAAAAAAATAATAAAACTGGAGTCCTTAAGCTTTCGAGGCGGCACCACTGAGCTACATACCCGGCCCTCAATCTCTCATTTTACAAGACTCACACACACAAAAAAATGTAATTTGAAATTGGAATAAAATAGACTGAATATAAAAAAAAAGACAGAAACAGTACACAGATGAGTATTTAACATATAAATAGGTTGTGACAGATGGCCTCTCATTCTCTTCCAATACAACTACTTGCCCAGGAAACGTCCTACCAGGTCAGTGATGCGCTTCAAGCACTTTGCTTCTCTAATTTTCTCTTCTTCTTCTCCTGCTCCTCCTCCTCTTTCTCTTCCTCTTCCTCTTCTTCTCCTTGTCCTGTATAAAAATAAAAGGGTTATTTGTATTGTTAATGCCCCCCACTGTAGGAACCTACTATTGGAGCTTGTTCTTACCATGACTTAATGTCCAAATATTGCTATTGGAAAAACCAAGGAAAATATAGTAGAATAAAAAATAGTATACTCTGTTACAGCATTCTTATAACATCACGTGGGTTTTAAGGGCTTTCTTTAAATGGTTCTGGACCTCCCTGTCTTCTCAGTGGATTAATTTAGTTTCAGCCTCCCTTTCATTTTGACCTCTATTACTGCCTCTGTGGGGATCCCAGACAGGAAAGACAAATGGGAAAACCCAAGAGAAATGTTGTCCTTAAAGAACCCCTGACCATCTTTTAGTGGTAGGGTATTTGAAGATAGAAATTATAGTAAGGATTTGAGAGAAAGAGTGGATTTCTGCTATGGTCTGTCTCTCTTGAATACTGACATACACCACATAAAGTCTCTGTGTGTGGCCTCCTTCATTTCAAATACAATAAGGATTGCCATTGCTAAGACCAGCTTATTTTTTGTTCTGCAGCTAAGTATTTTCTTTTTCTACCTTGCCCCTTTAGTAAGTGCTATGGAAGAGCTGCCTCAGGCGAAGAGATATGAAGTGGTTTATCCCATAAGGCTTCATCCAGTACACAAAAGAGAAGTCAAAGAATCAGAGAAACAGGTATAGCTTCTGTTTATCAAAGATTTCTGAGTTGGGATAAATGCACGTGTGTATATCATATATATCCCTCATATATGTTGTTATGGCTTATTTCTAGATGTACTCACAGGTAGGGTTTTGGGAGTAACTGAATCATGGGTGTGTAATCCTGGATCAGGGCTGTGTGATGCTGGATTAGCCCACTGATCGGTTTAGCATAATTCTGGGTGTAGGTGGTTAATTTACTGAAGAGGGAAGACCTACGCCTGCACGTGAGTGGCACAAACCAATAGATTTGCAGCCTGGAGGGAATCAAAAATGGAAAGAAAGAAGGGTCCCTGCTTCCTGCCTATTTTTCTACTCTGCTAGACCCTTGTGTCATGCTCCCCTACCTTGGAGCCAGTTGACTAAGGACTGAAACTTCTATAAATTGCAAGCTAAAATACACCTTTCCTTCTTTAATTTGTGGGTATCAGGTGTTCTGTCCCAGCAATGAGAAAGCAATGAAGATATACAACTTTGACATGTCAAGTAAACTTTGGGAAGTTTGCAGCTTTTATATCTCAAAATTCAATAATAAGACTGATGTTTGTGTTTGATATTTTGCCTTTTCATCTTCCTCATAATCTAAAGTTCTACTCTTAAATTTATTTTACAAACCAAACTTCTGAGAAGTAAAATAAACAGACCCAGTTAGCTGAGAGTATGAACTTTAATATAATATGATTATTTATTCTACACACTTGCAAAAGTAAGATAGAACTCATTTTATCTGTCTAGTATCATCTATCTATCTATCCATCCACATATATCTATCCATATGCACACGACTATGCTCAATCAAAAACAGCAGAAAATAAAATATTTCAAGTGAATGTATGCTTACATATTTACCTGAAATTTATCTTTTCTAAATTAGGAACATTAAAATAATTTGTATAATTCTTACAACTTAATGAAACTACATATTCTCAGTCAACATTCCCTGAACAAAGTTATTCTTTGCGAGAGGAAAGCTTAAAAAACATTCCATTTAACAGCATTGTTGTAATTACTTACAGTTAATTGAGACATAACTTATAAACTTAAAGAAATATTCTAAAATCCAACTTACCAGGAACACACATTCCACTATGAGACAAAGTTCCTTACAGTAGTTTTTCCAAAACACTTTTATAATAGCAGGACCCAAAGTAGACTCTGTTTCTCAAGATAACTATTTATCAAGAAGATATTTCTACTGAGTTTAATGCAATTTTTGTGTGTTGCAGTCTTCTTTAATATAGCTTCAAGTGATTTGTTATAGACTCTTAGAAGTGTCAGCTACCTTTCTCTGAATATTTTGAGGAAAATTTGGGTACAGTTGAAGTGTCTTTCATGGTAGGTATTAAGTAATTTTCCCACAAATGTAAAAACAAATTTAAGATTTTCTTTAGAAAAAATTTATTTTGATACAGCACCATGCACAAGGTATTGATACACGCAGGGTGATCAGAATTAATTTTTCAAATGATTGGGTGGATTGATGTGATTGATGTGATGTGCTTAATGCTTATTGGAGATATATTACTCATCTAATTCATGACTAACAAATGCTGCTTGGGCCTTAACGCTTCCCTGATCTGGAATGAAAGTATATGGGATCTCAACGCAAAAGACTAATTTGTGATCATATCTTAGCTTGGTCAGTTCTCCCTGCATAAACCCAGACACACAGAAACCTCAAATTCTTCTGAAAAATGGAATTAACAACGATATTGCTTATATCATATGTGAACTTTAAGATTTACTATATGAAAAGTGAGGCAGGATGCAAATGCTAACTCCAAGTTGGAGATTATGCTGACCCCTCCCCATACAGCCCATCGTATTACACTTTTTATGACTAATTCCAAAGCTTTAATAGCTTTATGTTACTGTCAATATTTCTAATTTTTTTTCGCTTATCTTCCTCAATAAACCTTCTACTCACCCAGGGATTCTTTTCTTAACAATATACTTATTGCTACCCTTTGTCTCATGTAACAGATTTCTTGCTACTCAAAATGTTTATATTTAAAGAGCACCCTACCTATGTGTTTTGTAAGGTCACTGTGGCCTATTCATGTATATAAAGAAACTCTTTCCTCTGGTCATGCTGAAGGCATGGATAGATTTCAAAATTTCTCTCTCAATTTTTAAAAAATACTGATTTGGGATCTGTAGTGTTCGCGTGTGTGTGTGTGTGTGTGTGTGTGAGAGAGAGAGAGAGAGAGAGAGAGAGAGAGTGTGTGTGTGGGTGGGTGTATGCACACGCATGTGCCTATGAGAGAGTGCAGCATTCTCTTCTGCTTTGAAGCTGTCTGAGCCAATTTAAGAGGTGTTTTGTGTGTCTTTGACAGGCCCTTTCATCTTTCCCCTTGTCTCCAACCTCTGCCTTGAGATATAAACATATGTTACATAAATGCCTGTTGATTCAAATAACTCTTTACAAAACATATCACATTTACCTTGTAAAGAGCGGCTATAAAATAATTAGATAATTAATCTATTTAGTGGCCAGAATTGTTTGATCCATGAAGGTAGGATGATGTAGATGTTTGGTGTCTTATAGTATACTGGTAAAGAAATGCAAATATTGCTAGATGATGATTAAACAAATAGAATTAGCCAAATACATATTTGTGTGTACTTTTTAATTCACAGTAAATGTTTGTGCATTTTTACAGGACCCGTTTGAAACTGAATTAAAGTATAAAATGACAGTGAATGGAAAAATTGCTGTGCTTTACTTGAAGAGAAATATGTAAGTATTTTTAGCTCTAATATTATCCTCATCCTGAAGAAGTTAAGGTGAAGAAAGTGTACTGAGTTTGTTACCACGTGTGGCTCTCATGAAACTTGACCATTAAGCGTTTACTCTCAATTGACCCATGTGAGTATTTGTTTCTACAAAAGTAATAGAAATTCGTTGGGTAAAACAATTCACTAGTATTTTGTTACTTTTAGACTTACAATACATGAGATGGAGCAGGCAACATTTTATTCTGTGAAAGAACAGATGTCTAAATCCTAATGTGCTTTGCTATAACTTTTAGATTTCCCTGTACATTATTACAATTTATCATCCTAATATTCTAAAACCATTTGGAGAAATGAACAAGACATATACAGGTGAAATAAATCTCTCGAGCCAAGTAAAAAGTCAGAATCAAAGCTGGCCTCGGTCCGCTGTGACACCAGTGGTTTTTCCACCCAGCAATCCAGTCACCTGCTATTTACCCACATCTTACTCTAGCTTATTGTTCCTCCATTTTCTTCATTTGGTCGATCAGAATTCAATGAATCTTCAATTCCAGAAGAGCCCCAATTCCCCAGTTTACTGCAGGCCTCACCCTGATCTTGGTCATCCTGTACCTCAACTTGTCTAAACTAGTTTTTCCCAAACCTGTGCTTTTAATCCCTGCATCATTCTATATAAGATAGTAAGATTTTCTTCAAGGAATAATTTATAAGATTTTGAAAATCATCGAAATAGATTGGAGTTTGGAAATGGTGTGGTAGAAGGAAAACAGTACAGGCTTTGGATGCAGGCTAGCCTAAATAGGATTCTTTGAAATATTTTTTCTCACGTGAAAATAAAGAGAGTGATATTTATCTCACAGGATTAAAGTGAATGCTGCACATTATATTTCTAACATAGTGCCTGCTCTAGAGATTTTATATATACATATATATAACATATACATTATATATATATATATATATAT